TGCACGATATCTTATATAAGTAATGCTAACAAGAAAGTAGATGCATGCAATGTTGCGGCGGCGTTAATATGTGCACGAATACATTTCATTTCATCCAGGAATGGGGTCTTTGAGTTGATTTAATTGCTCTTCTCCCTGTATAATCAATTATATGTATACTTTTCTTGCACAAATTGGAAGACATGATGATGTATATCTAACGAGGTTGAAGACTATACTTATTTACAACAAACATTTAAAACGTCGTCCTTGCTTATTCTTTTTTTTTTTTATTATTGTGTATATATATCAGGTATAAATTTCTACCTGGCAACTTAGGTGTCTCGATAATGTCGGGTCGCATTTTTCTTTTCAATTCTCTTTTTTTGGTCAACCAAGCGGATTTCTGAAACCCAACATTCAATTCCTTTCTTCTTTCTTCTTCCATTTTCTTTTGGACCATGGACTTTTCTCATGGAAACTGATAAAAATAAGCACAGTAGCATCATCATTGTGCATCACATGCATGGGAACTGATAATAATGTTATTGGCACTTTACTTTTGTGAATGGCATTCTATTCGTTCGATGCGCTTTTGCAAAAACCATGGATCTAAGAGATGAAGTTACTGCGGAAAAAACCATGCTGCTATTTTCCAAATACTGAGACGAGATTATCTGAGAGCCAAATTCATAAGGTAAATGGAAAAAAAGTGTGATATTTAACAACAATGAATGCAGATTCTTCATTGTTAATAAATTAATATGGCCTGTGTATGATACTGGTCCAACTTTTACTCAAAACTCTTCTACGAATTATAACCACATTTATACACCAAACACATTTAAGACAGGTGAAATTTTGTTCTTTTTGGGTCTTGCGATTGGGATATGTCTATATCCGCTGCAATCAATAACCAATAGAGCTGTTAAATCAATCAAGTAGCTCGAAAGCTCGTTAGAACTCGGCTCGTTAAGGCTCGAGCTCGGCTCGTTAATTTTAGTTAACGAGTCGAGCTCGAGCTCGAAACATGCTCGTTTAGTTAACGAGCCGAGTAAGCTCGGCTCGTTTGATACTCGAGTAGCTCGTTAGAGCTCGTTAATGAAGAGCATATTTGTCATTTTAGAAATCAAAATTATAAAAATTAAAAATTATAGATTTTTATTAAGGTTAATTTGCACAAACTCGGGCTCGAGCTCGTGAAACTCGACTCGTTTGTGATAAACGAGTCGAGCTTGAGCCACATGTACATTTAACGAGCCGAGTTCGAGCACATTTTAAAGCTCGTTTTCCTAACGAGCTCGAGTCGAGCTCGGTTCGAATTAAACTCGAGTCGAGCTCGGCAGCCAAATACTCGACTCGATTAACAGCTCTAAACCAAAGCCAAAATGGGAATGTTTCAACACTGGCAACACAGTATATATATATGTGTGTGTGTGTGTGTCTTGTTTTGGATATTTCAACATTTTGAATTTCTTTGTTTGCTTGTCTTGACTCTGATCTTATCTTAGCTTCTGCATGCATTTCCAGTTCTTAATTTGCTTACATTCCACAGCGGATGGCAAAGTTAGGCCAGAATTCGTTAGTTTCGTATCCAAATTATCAAGAAAATACATAAATAAGGAAAGGAATTTAGAAAATTCTCCTTGACATCTATGCATACATCTATATTGTAGTTACTGTTACCCACGTGAAGAAAAAGGAGACCGTCTCAATACATTGTTGTCAAATCAGCACTAAATTAAAGAAGCCATGTAACGAACTATATACTATTAGTTTCTTAATTCTTTTGCTGTTTATAAATTGGATTCTGAAACTACCTGAAATTAATGTTTTTGCAAATATATATATGGTAATGGTATTAGAAAAAAAATAATTCTTTTATCTTTCTTCAATAATTTTGGCTGGTCTCATTGGAATATTCGATGGCACCAGACATAGAAAATTTGCCCGATAAGATTCTGTTGGAAGAAACCCTTCAAGAAACAGAGAAAGTGACAATAATGGTGGACAACGTGGGATCATCTGCAAAGGGCAACCACAAAAAAGGCATACAATTATTTGAATTCCTGACTGAAGACTTTTGACAGATGTCCGGACTCCGGAGCAAAGGCAATCAAAAGCTAAAAATTGTGGATCAAACCACGAATTACTTGGACTCTTAAGGCGTGAAACTTGCAAAGCTATTCTGAAACTTCTGGTGGTTATGGCTGATTCATAAGCTAAACATATAATTTGATCCGTATATATATATATATAGAATCAAGAGTTGTAAAAGTATATATATATATATAGAATCAAGAGTTGTAAAAGTATATATATATATATACATACATATATATATATATGCATTTAGCCCATCGACTTTATTTTAATATGGGAAAAAAATTGGTCAGGAATGGTGAAAAATGTTTTACGGCAAAGAATCAACTTAGCCACCATAACTACACGTATGATCAGTCCAGCAAACTTACACCACCAACCAACTCTTTGTTGCTTAATTTCGCTTCCAAGAAATTCACCACTAGATTGTGATTTGTTAATAGTGACAAATTGATCCTATACGGTGAAATTTTATGAAAAATCATAATATCAAAGCATGCAATTTTTTTTTTTTTTAAACTACCACGCTACTGCAATTTATGGCACACTCCCATTTAAAAATTTAGTGCACGCGAAAGAATTACCACCTAACATTGGGTTTTTAACAAATCTAAGCTGTATGTACTGCTTTTTACTGTGGATTTACTCTTCCTCATATTGTAAAGACGGATGATATTCAAAAAAACTTCGTCATCGTGAATATTGCCCACATGATTTCTATGTCTCAGAAAAAAGATAATGTGAATGCACTCTCCTTTTTTGGGTCAAGAAATGTGAGGAGCACGAGATCGCTCGATTTCAGACCTATTATCCCTTCCTTTCTTTTTTTGGTAAACTAAAGTGCATCAAAACTACGAGTAGAGGATTATTTGCTTGGATAGGAATATATTTTGCCAAAAAAATTATTTGCTTGTATTACAAATACATTTTTCAATACACCCTTTTACGTTCTTAACTCCCTTTTTATCTCACAAATAAAGTGTTACAATAATTACTTAAAAAAGTGTTACAGTAGTTATTTCAAATAAATAATTTCCTTTGCAAACGCACAAACTAGCGTTCTTCCTCCAAAATAGTACATGAGGAGACTTATTTCCTACTTCATTTTGGAACCTCACAATTGAATATTGAAGGACTGCTGAACCAAATCAGACCATTGGTTAGCAACCTTTACATCTTTTGTTTTCTGCTCACAACATGTGAACGTGACGTGACGTTTACTCCATGTAGTACTTAAATACAATTTATACAGTAAAATATTTGTGTGCTCGTCTACAAATACAACCTTTTAGAATTTTGGTTGTTTGGATAGAGTATTATTTGGAATAATTACTGTAACGCTTTTTGTGATGTGATGTGATATATGTGAGATAAAAAGATGGGTTGGAAAATGTGTTTATGATGCAAGCTAAATATTTTTTGGGATAATTTCACTGTCCAAACACTTCTGAGCTGAGTTTTGAGTTTGAAACCTTGGAAAAATGCTATCTTGTATCTGATACTATAAAAAAGGCTCACTTCCATTTATTAGTTATTCCTCGCACGGGCATGGCTTTCTCGAATATTGTTTACTATTTAAATTTATTGGGAGCGTACACAGGTTCCATTAGGCCCTTATGATATTTGTGCCAAAGCCCATTGCACCTATGGGATGGAGAATGGGCTTGCATCAACTTGTTTGTGCTCATTGTCTTTCATGTACCATGCTCTTCTTGCAGCATCGATTGTCAAAGCCCATTACAATTCATGGACTCAAGAACGGGCTTCAATCAATCTTACCACAACGAACGCCCGCTCCCAAGACTTTTATTTAGAATTTCACTTTAGTTTCTTTTCGGGTACGATCTATGAAGTGGAAAGGGAAACGGGGATTTGAATCTAAAACCTCTATAAGGTGGCAATATAGATAAATGGTTCATAATTGGTTTTGACTTAATGGATAGTGGATGAAATTTATCCAAATCATTTAGATTCATTTAATAAATAGATCTAAATGGATTAAATAAAAACCAATTATCCATTTATAATCCATTTAAATATTTTTGTTACTTTTTTTTTGTATTACTCTTTCTTGTAAATTCAAGCCACAAAATACCATGGATGTAAATTCAAGCAAAATGAACCTTCATTTCACTAAAAAACTATCTGAAATTATTATTATTATTATATATACATGTGTATATATATATATATATATTACATATTACAGAGTAGCCATATATTGCAAACTAGCCCAAACAATAGAAGTCCTGCATAGACCGTATGTAGGGTATCTACAAAAATACCAACACTGGCTTTTATTCATACTCACACAACACTTGCAATGTCTACTACTAAAGCTACGGATGACTTTTGAGCTCAACATCTAGTAATCAGGTGCATGGGTGTACCAAGCAGGGCATGTTCCCTTTGTCCTGACTTCTTCAAAGCCAATCGAAATCCCAAGTACTGTAGAGTCTAGAAGAAGAAACAAAGGAATGATTAATTAGTTCAGCAGTAAACCCCAACATTCAGTTTCAGGGTTGGTTACTATTCACGGGGACGGCTTTTTCACACCCCAACTGCAATTTTAGGATGGCTCCTTTTTTAGTCATTTCCTTTCCCTCTCTTTTATTTGGTTTTTAAGTAAATGGATATATATGATTTTTGTGGATAATTCCTATAAATCCATTTAATTTAATGGTTTTACTTTGATCAACCATTTAAAACCAATATTATAAATGGATAATCCATTATCCATTTAATTATGGATTATATGGATGGATAAATGAATCTCAATCCAAATTGCCGCTTCTACAGTCTATATTTTGACGCCTCTCTGACGAATTTTTTTTTTGTTCCTCGTGCACTATATTTTCAACAACGGATTAAATTTTTTCTTTGATTTAAGGAAATGAAACTTAACCGAACATATAAGCATGGCTTACTCCATGTTTGACCCATGGTTGAGGTTGCTGAAGATGGAGCCTCAGGTCCCTGGTTCGAACCTTGCTGCCAGCAAGTTGCTGAGAGTGGTGAATAGTCTGCGGGGTCCACTCCCTGCGGGACACACCTAAAAAAAAAAATGATTGAAAAAGAAACCGCCGGTTAAAATACTTGTTTTAATTTGAGAATGGAATTGCTCCCGATTGTTTGCCATTCTAAGAAGAAGACCAAAATCCAAAACCACTTAATTTGTTGCTTCTAATTTTCATTTTTTGGCATCCGAAAAACATAAAAAAGCAAGTTTTGAAAAATAATTGAGAACCAAAAAATTTAAAAAATTTTTTAAAAAGTTGTCAAAATCGAAACCCAATACTCCATGAAGTATCGATGATATTATCTATCAGAACAGCTCCATTAGCTCCATTTTACTCGTGTTTGAGGTAAGTAATAAAACAAACCAAGTTTAGGTCCAATTTTGAAGTCCTGGAGCACACAGACACGACGCAGTAGAGAGAGAGAGAGAGAGATGAAGATGTCTGGGAAGCATCACGTACGTACTACGGTTTTGGTTACTGTGGAAAATAGAGGTGTCAAAATGAGTGACTTAGACGGGTTTGGATTGGGTAAAATGGGTAATGAATATAAGTGAGTCAATCTATTTATATCCATTTAATTAGATGGGTATAAATGGGTAAGTCAAAAAATGAATTGGATAACTCAATTACCCATTTATAACCCATTTATAACCCATTTATTTTAATTTTTTATAAATTCATTTAAATTCATTTTTGCAAACTAAGTTATCAATTTATACCGCTCTTTGTACCCATCATTAGTTTTAAATATTTACTTATAATGTTCAATAAGCCTAATTACCAATTTTTTTTTATTTATACTCTATTTCACAAAATTACATATTATTTAATAATTGAATAATAAGAATATAAAAATTTGAACTAAGTACTATAAAAGTTAATATAAAAATTTAATCCAAAAATTTTGAACCCCTAACATTTTTTCCATATATAAATTTAGAATTTCATTTTAGAAATATAAGAAAAGAAACTCAAATTTTGAGAATTTGCCTTCGGATGATGAATGGGTGACAGAGAGAGAAAATCCAACTCTTCCAAGAGAAAATAATTGGTTACGAGTTCTAGATGACAATCCCGAATGTGACACTTCAGATGAAGAGGGAAATGAAGATAATGAAATTGAAATACTTACAAGAAATGTGCAGAGAGTTTGTAAGTTTCTTTCTTTCTTTCAATTTAAGTCTAAATTTTATCTTTTTTTTTTTTGTTTTTATGGTTTTATATTGCAAGATATTTGGTTTTTGGTAACTTTCATTATTATTGGTTGTTTATTTAGATGATCATCAAGATCGTGAAACCCATGCCCGTCGAAGACAAATTAATAAAATGAAAGAGATTCATGTTATTGATGAGGATGATGGGCCTTCAACTGAATTCGATCGTCAAGATGATGATTACCTTGATATGGTTCCTGAAAATGATGTTCAAATGAGAACTAATGACTTGGATGATACTAATTTGGATGATGATGAAGATAATGCCGAAGATGAATTCCAAGAGAATTGGGATGGTGAAGATGATTGGGAAAATAATGATTTTGATAATGTGAATTATGGGGATAATGAATTTGATGAAAATGATGACAATGATTGGTTATAAATTAATATATTTCTGAATTATTATGATACTTGAAAACGATGAATTGTTACTATTTTATTTTTATTTTTTCATGTTTGTTGAGGTTCCATTTGTTGGTCATCTGCTTCATGCATGTTTGTTCTTACAAATGTAGGTTGGGAGGAAATAATTATCTTCTTTAATTCGTTTTTGGTTTTCTTTGGTTAATGGCACGACTTGGTAAGCCTGCCTAACTAAAGCTCTATCAGAGACAAGCTTGTCATGCTTGACATATTCATACTTTTAGCCTCAATCCATTTGAGTTCTCTGCAGTGTTAGAAGCAAGTTTTCTGGTGACAACAGTTTGCTAGTAGGAATTCTACAGCATAAAATTTAGTAGTAGAGTTGCCTGTCTACTGCATATCCAAACCCAAGTGTTACTGATAGCTTTGAGCTTCAGCTCCTAGTACACGGCATGCAATTCCCAGGTTTTACTATGTTTTCACGCAACAGAGACATGCAGATTATATATATATATATATATATATATATATATATATATATATATATATATATATATATATTGCATTGCATTCCATGTTTTTACAGCAATCAATGAGCTTTCTTCAAATTTGCACTTCTTTGGCTTCAACATCTGGTAAAAAATCATTACAAACAGAACTTTTGCCGAAAGATAAGATGGATTGGTTGCTAGACATTGAAATTGCAAAATTCATACCTCTTTAGGCAAAAGCAGTAAACAAATTAAACTCCAAATTAAACAAACAAGCTTTTGGTGGGATCTTACGATCCTACGATCCGATTCTGTGAAACTAAAATCGATCCTACGTGGAATCCCGATTTTACAAACCTTGGGTGGGCTCCAGATTGAAATGACCCAGGACAATTTGTCAAGCACATGGGTTCACCTCCACTATGGATTCACTCAAAGTTAACCCATGTGAAAAGACCCAAGACATTATTAATAATTGTTTTCAAATTTATGAACAATAGACATAACCAAGAAAATGTAAAGTTAGATATACAACTGAAAAGAAATTATAAAAATAAATAATATATGTATGTGCAGAATTAGATAAATTTTGATTCATTTAATTACATAAATTGACAAAAGAGTAGATAATTTAATATTTTGGAAGAAATTTTGGAATAATATGTATAATTAATTAAACCAATAATAGGAATTAATAGCTGTAAAGGAGTAAATGAATGGTTAATTAATTAGTTGAGATGGAATATTTGTAGGAGAAGTATTGTGTTGTTTTATTATATGAGAAGAAATTAATATGATTTTTTTTATTATATTTGCGGGTAGAACATAAAGATATGTTTAAAAAATGCATTTGTAATGGTATTAGTCCAAATTAATGAGAATGAATTGATGACATAATAACCGGAGTGCAAATAGGTGACATTTAATTAGACCATATTTGTCACTTTTAAATTTTCAACATTATCATCATAATCATTTAATTATACTTTTATCATTTGATTAACATATTGTCTATGTATTGTCATCCAATAGCACAACTAACTTTCATCGATAACCAACCATAAACATTATAATTACCAAATTCATTAAAATAATTTAAAAAAGCTTTTAAAAGATCAAAATTTTTTGTTTATTAAAATTTTATACCAATTTCTTCCATATAAAAAGTGATTGTTTTAAATTACTCATAGATTGAGTGTGCCCTTTATCACTAGTAATACTAATGGTATTTGTACTAATGTATACATGCTTGAAATCAAATATTCGTATTGATTAGACTATGTAGTGATGCAGTTAATAATATTTTTAACAGGTATAAATACAAAATATAATTCCACATTGTTTATTCTAAAAGTAGGACAACAAACAATCTTAACATTAAAAGTATTCCATATACTTTCACGGATAATATAATACAAGATGACATGCTCGAATTTACTAATGAATGAATAATTTTCTTTCAAATAACATAAAAAACTTTTTACAATTGGTACTCCCGAACTTGAACATATTTTTAGGCAAGAGGAGATAAAAATTTATGAAACATAAGTCTATTGTTGTTTGTTTTATCTCGAAATTTAAATATATCCAAACCCCATTCCTATTTTTCCTTATTGTATCTAAATGTTTTGGACATGAATTCTCATAGTACAATAAATTATGAAGAGTTAATAATACTTTAAGTGCTTCCTTTTGTGTAATAGGCTCCAAAGTTACTATATCATCTCTAACTTTCATCATTAGCATGATTTTCTGTAATGCCAACAATAACTCTTTTAAACTGGAGACCTCTAAACTTGTCTCATTTTCATCATATGGATAATCCAATAGGTAATTTACATATTTAGACTTTTAACATCTTTTTATTACTAGAATAATTCATATGTTTATAAAAATAAAATAAAACTTTAGTCGATTAAACGAGTGTTTATTTGAATTGTAAGCACACTCATAAATTAATAAATTAATAATTTATTAATTAATTTTAAATTAATAGAATCTGTATAACTCCGAGATTGTTAATTTATGGGTTAATCGCACTTTATCCCATTTAAGTATAGGCCGTTTCTCACTTTACCCCCCAACGTTTGTTTTTCCTCAGTTTACCCCTTCCGTCAGCAATTGCACCGTTAAAAACTTTAAGATTTCGAATTTACCGTACGAAAAGGGCCGTTGGTTTTAGCAGACAACAATGCCCCTCAATGGTGTCTGATGCTTTTAGCCTACCTTTTCCCTCAAAGAGCCGTTGGTTGGTTGGTTTTAGCGGTTGGTTGGGCTTTATAAAAGGAGGTATTTTGCACCCAATTTTTCTCATACATTCTCAAAGGTTCCAAAGTTTCTAAAATTTCTCTCCAAAGTTCCTAAAATTTCTCTTTGTCAACCAAAAGCATCATAAAATGTCACAAAGTGCTTCAAATGATGTTGGAAGATCACCCCAAAAAATGTGTAGATGTGGTAAAGAGGCACCATTGTGCACGTCTTGGACACTTGAAAATCCGGGAAGAAGATTTTACGGCTGCTCAAATTACAATGTAAGAATTTTTCATTAATAATTTGTTAATATTGTCTTTAATTTTGCTCTATACCTGAATTAGTTAGAAAGAGTTTAAACAACTAATTATTTTTTTAATTTAGAACCGACACGCATGTGGGCACTTTGAATGGGTAGATCCTGAAGTATGTAGCCAAACAAAAGAAGTAAGTGCAGTGCTGCAATCTAGATTGCTGGAGCAAAAGGAGAAACTAATGTACTTGCAAAGGAAGCATGAAAAATTGGCAAATGAGCATGAGAAATTGAAAAGCAGATATGAAGCCTTAAAAACAGAAGTCTGCGTCTTACAAGTTGAAAACCAACAGCTACAGCAACAATACATGATGGTCAAAGCTGCTCGATTTTCATCATGGAGAAAAACACTAGCCATTACATTTCTGATTGCTAGCATTTTGTATATGTACTCTATTTCAGAACCAAAAAGTAACAAAAATCTGCTTTATCTACCATAGTTGTAAGCAAATATGTATGAAAGAAAATTATATTAAGTTAAAAGTATTTTACACATCAGATTACATCTTAGCATGTGTCTGCATGGCCACCCAAACAAAGGCCATTTTAGTAGAACCCAGCCAAAACATGATTCTAGAACATGTCCAAATAATGGGAGAAGAAAAACAACATCAGCATTTCTAACATTGCTGCAAAGGTAACTTCAAATACTAGTAATGACAAAAATAGCAACAGCAACACCATTTCACATCAAAACACATTCAGGTGTGCGCATAACTGTTGAACGTCCTGTTGCAGCAGTTGAAGATCCTTGGGTAGAAAATACAGCATCTCCAAATCTAATACTCTTGGTTTGAACCTACATGGATGAGGGGCATCTTAGTGCATCAAACTACTACTAGGGGTGGTAGCATGTAAACATAGCCAAAAGACTTGAACTCACCGTTCCAGTTTTAGTAGCACCTGAATTGGTTTTAGAACTTCCAGTTTTAGCATCACCCAACTTGGTTCTTGGTCTTTTAGTTGTTACTGAAGTGGTTGCTTTTGAACTTGTACATGGTACGCTGGTGGGAGCAACAACAGTAGTTGAACTCAAATTGGCACCAGATGTAGGTGTTCTTGTCCACTATATCATCAATAGGAAACAACAAGTGAGCACGTATAAAATGGCCATGCATGCAGAGTTTTAAAATGTAGGCTTACCAGTTGGGTTGGAGGGGGCTGGCCAGTCTTTGAAGTACTTGGAATCTGCATAATAAAGGTAGTTTTTAATCATTGCAAGTGTCTAAAATTAAATTAGTTACATACAAATACAAAAGGAACTCACCATGCTAGACTCAAATGGGATATATGTTTTACTTGTTGATATCCCTTGACCATTCCAAAGTCCAATGCCACATAGTGGCCCATTGTTATGGTCTGAACCCCTACCCTTACCCCTGCCCCTACCTCTACCTCTCATTTTAGCTCTAGTTGGGTCTCTTGCAGTTATAGATTTAGTCACATCAGCATTTTGCACAACATCAGCATCAGTATTTCTCTCAACATCAGCATCAGCATTTGTAGAGTGGCCTCTACCAGCTCCTCTCCCTCGTTTAGTAGGCCCTTGCATCTTGCAATACATCAAAAAATGACAGTCAGATGTAGATAGAAAAAAGCCAAGCAACATATATTGATTGAAGTTACCTGTGCAGTCACTGATTTTCTTTGCCTCACAAATGAACAACCAGTGACCTTGCAACTTCTGGCATTGTGGTCAGTATGACCACAATGACTGCAGTGAATTGGCAGCCCTACTTTAGATAGTTTTCCAACATGTAAGTCCTCCAATGGAGCCTTTTTTCTAACTTTCTTAGGCCTGCCTGGAGCTATCTTCCTACGAGGTGGGAGTAGTGTATCACTGCTAGCATTCACCCAATTTGTTTGGTCTGGCATAGGCATAATAACACCAGCATATGCCTTTACATATGTTTCTACTGAGTAGCAATTATCAACATATGCATATGGATCTTTGTTGTCTTGCAC